TGCAGGTAGCTATGGTAACAGATCCAAACTGGCGTGAACAACAACGTTTCACAGGTATCTATGGTAACAGCTACAAACTGATGCTCACCAGCAACTAGCAGATAGTTATAGTAACAGCTCTAAGCCAAAAACAACTGCTTATATTAGGTAGTTATATTAACAGACTCAGTGGAGAAGGTAACGCACAGGGTTACCACTTCTGTTTCTTCATGCTGTCTCCTCCAGAAACACTATGTTTCTCAGTTTTAAGTGCTCCTATAACCAGAGACACTGTGTTTCTCAGTTTTAAGTGCTCCTATAAAAAGCTTCAACACGAATCAATTACGTTATGTTAATCAATTACACGCAGCCTTAGGGTATACGCCGAAGAAGTGCAGGAAGTTTCTAGTGGTCCTCTTCAGGTCAGCACTGCACGGAGCTGAGTGACCTACTGACGGTTTCGCTTCTCTATTGGCCTAAATATGTAAGAAGGATGCGCCCTGCTATAGAGGAAGAAGAAAACGAGATCACGACATAAACTGGATTTTTTTCGTTAATCCGATGACCTGGATCATTGGTAAAAATCTCAAAGCCTTCACTTTCATCTGGTTTTAATCATTTGTTCTTCGTCGTTTTGTAGCCGTTAACTTTCTGTGTTTTACCATCAAGACACAAATGTAATTTTTGAAATGGTGTATTTAACTGTTTTACACTCACAAAAAAGAAACCTGTCATTCTATACGTATTTGTAGAACTTGTAGCATTCCGCCACAATTTAATTCTTCGTATTGTTAGCCGACACTAGGCAGCTGGTAAATAAATAATTGAATAGAGATGTGTTTAACAACAAATGTAATTGTCGCGTATATGGAAGTAACAAAACTTACAGAAGTTGAATCTTGTAACATGTCAAGAAAAAGTTGCAGTAAAAATATACATACACGTAAACATCAGGGAAAGTAACAGTTCAGACATTATATATGAACTGATCAGTGGAAATGTAGTCGAGAGTATTTGCTCAACCATACAGAAGAACCTTTACGCTCCCCTCCCCCCAACTGGTTCAGTGGTAAGTCTACAGGCTTACGAAGTTCAAATTCAGCTTTCGATACCCGTGATGGGCAGAGCACAGATAGCCCATTGTGTAGTTTTGTGCAGAACACCAACCAAACCCAGAATCTAAACTAAAGGTATTTTCAATTTAATTAATTTCATGTTTATTCACCAACTAAACCAATCACGAGACAACATCGATAAGCAACCAAAAACCACACGAAAACATAATACAACACGAATATTAAAATTCATTATATTTCAATATTTAATTATTTTAAACACAATTTAAGCAAGCGCAATAAATGTGTAGTTTTAATGAAATATTAATAAGTATTTTGTAGTTTAACCTAATTTTCAATTAGTTTTGCCCTTGTTTCATGAGGTATCGTATCCCAAGTACTTACTTCTACATAACTTAGTGGTTTGCGTGCTCAGATTATAAATCCAAGAGTTCGTGGTTCGTGTCCCATTGCCACAAAAGCGCGCTCCGAGCTTTGGGGCTGTGGATGCGCTGTAAGAGTGGTCATCATTTGGTCAAACAAGAGTAGTCAAAGAGTTGACTGTTGATCAACTGCCTTCTCTCTAGTCTATCAGCTCAGAATCAGAGACGGAGTTTGTCTTTGTACAGCTTAGCCTAAAAATTATGAAACATAAAGTAATCTTATGAGTAAAGGTTTCCACGCTTACATTTTATATGTAACGTATAATTCCTTAACTTCAAAATAGTGTTAGGTCTCCTACGGTTTTATTCATTGTGAACTGAATTCGTACATTTAGAATTTCTTTGCTGCCTCTGTACCTCATCTTCACTGTTTTAATTATCCTTCTTACAAAGACGTTCCTGTTATCAACCGGGTCATAAGTTTTCGTTATCAAGTTAAAAAACAACAGAACGTTAGGAATTTCAACAGTTATTGTTGTTGTAAAGATTCTAAGGTTTTCAGCGAAACTGTACAATTCACCAGCTGAAAAAACACACTATACAACCGAATCGCTAGGATAACAATAGTTCCTGGATATGTTACATTACTGAAACGCTAGGATAACAATAGTTCCTGGATATGTTACATTACTGAAACGCTAGGATAACAATAGTTCCTGGATATGTTACATTACTGAAACGCTAGGATAACAATAGTTACTGGATATGTTACATAACTGAAACGCTAGGATAACAATAGTTCCTGGATATGTTACATACCCAAAACGCTAGAATTGAAAAAAACTGGCTCACACATAAACAATACAACCGAAACACTAAGATAATGATAGTTCCTGGATATTTTACATAACCGAAACGCTAGGATAACAATAGTTACTGGATATGTTACATAACCGAAACGCTAGGATAACAATAGTTACTGGATATCTTACATAACCGAAACGCTAGGATAACAATAGTTACTGGATATGTTACATAACCGAAACGCTAGAATTACTATGGTTCTGGATAAAATACATAACCGAAACGCTAGAATTACTATGGTTCTTGGATAAAATACATGACAGAAACGCTAAAAAATAACTAACAAGCTCCTGGATAAGCAACGTAATCGGAACGCTTCTTCGAGTGACTGATTAAGAATTCGATATTTCAACACTAAATATTTGTCTAGATGTACAGATTGTATAAGATAGTTTTTCTCTGTAATCCCAACATATATCTGATCATGCATAATGCCCTGTAGCTCTTGGGTTCATTTAAAAAGCAAAGGTTTGATGATTATTTACGATAAGTCAAAGATTTCGCCAAAGAAATGTGAAGTATGGGACTTACTATCTATTTCACTCACGATTCGATAGCTCACCTGATAAGTCATCTCAAGCTGAAAGCGCTCTATTCTCGCTACAGGTAGAGCTGACCCACTGACAAGTTCTCCATACCAGTAATATAGCCTCCATCACAGGCCATGACAGCTCCTGGCGGTTAACCTAAATTTTATATAGAACCATCGATATTCAAACATCGGTTCATTAGTGTTACGCTAGTTCTAACACGTTTTTTTTGTAATGAAATCCTAAGTTACTATACTTCCCCATTTTACGTGATGATAACATTGCCGCTGAGGTAAGAAATCTCTTGGTTTTGAATGTGGTGGCAGCACGGTCGCCTGTGGGTTATTTAATGTGGGTTGATATAAGCACTTGGTGATTCAATAAAGGTGGATTATTTCCGACTTCGTTTTTAAAACCTTGGTCTGTTAATTAACGTCCGAGCTCACGAGTCTTACAGCTGTCCATGAAACAGCTCCAGTCCAGTGACCATGCTTGTTATCTGTTGGTCACGTGTTTCAGAAAGAATAGTGTGATAATACCGTGCTCAGTACCGTATTTAGAGTAAAAAACAGAACAGTGAAAACTAGCGAATTTCATTATTTTCACCAAGAAATAAAAATTATAAACAGCACATTGGATAAAGAGTTAACACTAACGTTGATTAAAGTTACTACACTTTAATAAAGAGCTAGCACAAACGTTGGTAAAAGTTACTACACTTTAATAAAGAGCTAACCCAAACGTTGGTAAAAGTTACAACACTTTAATAAAGAGTTAACACTAACGTTGATTAAAGTTACTACACTTTAATAAAGAGCTAGCACAAACGTTGGTAAAAGTTACTACACTTTAATAAAGAGCTAACCCAAACGTTGGTAAAAGTTACAACACTTTAATAAAGAGCTAGCACAAACGTTGGTAAAAGTTACTACACGTTAATAAAGAGCTAACCCAAACGTTGGTAAAAGTTACTACACTTTAATAAAGAGCTAACATAAACGTTGATAAAAGTTACTACACGTTGACAAAGAGCTAACACAAATGTTGATTAAAGTTACTACACTTTAATAAAGAGCTAACACAAACGTTGATAAAAGTTACAACACTTTAATAAAGAGCTAA